GCATTATCTCCTTGCTTGGGTTGAATTGATTAATAAATAAAAACAAAGAACTTTAACAAATAAATAAAAAATCCACACTACTGGATGGCTTCCAAAAGCAGCAATAACTAAAATGAGTAGCGAATGTAACTAGAAAATAAAATGATATGATCAAAACGTTGACATTTCACACTACCATCACTTTCCGTGGAAAGTGTTCAGACGAACTACATTATTTTGATCCACCAGTTCTAACCTTTACGGCTAAGACCCGCCATGCTACGAATCACCTTCATCCCCTTTGTATTCCATTAGTGAGATGTATGTTCTACTCAGCTTCTTCCTAAAAACCACTACTTTTCGGCACCGACTCCCAAGAAGATGCTTCCACAATCACTACAAGCGTAACCTGCTAACAATTATCCTCTCCACATTTCCCCATAAACTGTGGCTCTTACTCTGTAACCCTCTACCTCGAGTGGCTCTTAGTCACTGTACAGGTTAAAAAATGTTGTTAAAAAATATAAACAAAGCGTTAGGAAGAAAATCCAATCAATACAAAGAAGAACAATATTAGTTAATGAACTTGAGAAATCAGTTTTCAGAAAAAAAAAATGAGCAAAGAAAGATTTTATAAATTTCAACGGACAGAAATTTGCTTAACGGTATATCAACTCCTTATGGGTCATTTAATGCCGAAATTAAATTTTCTTGAGAGATTTGAAATAATAAAAATATATGTTATTCTGCTTTCGCAATTGAGTATATGGTAGATGATACTCAACTTTTGTACATATATAAATTTGTGTGGACATAATTACTAGAGGCGGTGATATGCGTGTTTTTTATGTTGTAGTTTTTTGTTTGAAGTTATATTTTGGAATGCAATTTGATTTCTTTAAGTAATTGTAGGATATTATATGGATTAATGTCTTGAAAGAGTTCTTTCATGTTGATTGTTTGATTGATTTTGCATAGCGGCATATCAATCACTATGTTTTATTTAATGCTGAAATCTAAATATTTTGAATGCCATTGCATGCCTTCAAGTACAGATAAAATGTATTGTTGGTCATTTTGCTATAAATATGTATTGTCATTTTACTAAAATATGTATTTTTATACTTCCATAGTGTTTTGTCTTTTGTTTGAGGGGGTTTTCTATTTGCCCATGGCTTGGACCCTAACAGGTGCTACCACCTCGGGTCAGGGTGGACATGGGAACAACAACAATAAGGAGGTGGTTCCACACTCCGCAAAACCTCCAATCGCCCGATTGGAGACCCTGCTGCCGGATGTAGTTTATCGTCATACGCAGGATTATCAACGGTGAGTAAACTAACTGTTTGGTCAATAAATGCTGAATGTTAACTTATACGGAAACTGCTAATGGCACCATTACAATTACCATAATAAAAGCCACCGGCGTATTAGAGAAATTTGAATTAACCAAAAGTATCAGCGTAGTTATTGTATCTGTATAAATATCATACATACTGTAGTTGCTGTAGCCTCCGAGTGAAATGGTTTGGAATTATTTTTGCCTCATTAGGATTTATTCTTCTCCTCTGCATAGATAGTTCCTATGTCCTAACTCAGGGGTGGCCAACCTTTTGATTCCATGCGCTAATATTTTGTACGATTAATTTAAATGCGCCACACAAACATTCACTTCCTTTCAGTACGTGTTGTAATATGGACATATTTTAAAGTTATAATAAAATGTATTTATTTGAAAAATATATGATTATGACCAGGGGTATATCCAGGAGTTTTGAAAGGGTGGGGGGCATCAATCAATGCTTTGACTTTCTTTTTTATCTTCAGATTTTGCTGAGGAGGGCAGAGTTTATAATGTTTACAAAGGCAAAATAAACATAAATAACTTTAATGTCTTTTGATTCTGATTTGTTTTCGCCAAACCAGCAATATTAGGAGTTAAATTCGTAACTGAAAGCAACAAACAATTCTTCATGTTGGAATCGGAGTCGCGACCTTTTCATCAAAAGGATGCAATGCGCCACTTATGGCGCATGCGCCACAGGTTGGCCATCCTTGTCCTAACTATTATTCTCTTAGTTGGTATGACGTTTTCCTGATACCGTAACTGCCCGGGTTTCAATTGTCGGTAGTGGATGCGCACTGCTGATGAGTCCCAAATATAGGACGAATATAGTGCTTTCTGCATTCTGTTGAGGTTTCTTCTAGACTCGATGAATTAATTAATTATCTCAAATCCCCCTAATTTCTATCAATATATATATATATTATATAAAATCTTGAACAATAAAAAATGTTAAAAATTTAAAATTTCAGACACATTAGTATTTTTGTTTTATTATTTAAATTAGGCTCCTCGACTAGTTTCGGCCAACATGAACATCATCAGGAGAAAAAAAAATCCTGCTTGTTAGTAGCAGTAAACTGCAGGGTTGAATAACTGTTTCTGAAGAAAGTGAACTTTGCTTGTAATTTTCATTTGTTTTTTTTTTATCGTTAATTTTTGGTCAGTCCTTTTATTGATCAAAAAGCCTTTTTCAAGTTCTTTTAAGGAGAGGCTGGGAGATACATGAGTATTTACCTCCTTAGTGATTGTGACAGCTTTATTGGTTGCTCTGGAAAGGGGATGTGTGTGTTATCTTTAATTTGTTTTTGGCGGGGGGGGATGATATGTGTATGTGTATATATTGGTGTGAGTCTGTGTATGTGGAAGACCTCAAAACCTCTGCAAGCATGCCTGACTAGTATGGTTGAGAAAAATGGGTGCGGTGATTGATCTATGGGATTATATATTAACACCGCTTTAATGTTTATATTAATTATAGAATTTGTTGTGATGACAGTTTTGTTAATATGGAAATTTTACTGATAATAAAAAAAAATGAAATTCGGTTTGAAATATAGCAAATTATTTTGCTTATTGGAAATATTAAATTTAATCTATTATCTTGAAATTAAAACTAAAATAAAAGATTCAGGAAAGCCATTTATTAATACTGTCTTTGTACATCTGAATATATATATATATATATATATATATATATATATATGTGTGGATACAGAAAAAGATTCACTAAAACATGAGCATTCATGATGAAAAATGCTCCAAACGTAATAAAAAATACGTTTTATCATCAAAAGTATTGTTATTATTAAGCGGAAAGATCAAAGGATTTTTTGATTATTAAATTATATTTTTTAATCCTTTTTAGAACCTTGGAAATTTTGGTTATATTTTTTGTTCTTGCATCAGAGGGTGAGTATAAATTAGTATTGTAAATTTGAGCGTCTTTTTGCTGTAAAAAACACATTGATTTAGAAATTCTTGCAAAGATCAAATAATTGTAGGATTTTAATGAAACTTTCAGTACTTATTCGCAAATTAATGAAATTGTTTAAGAAAAAAATATTTAAGAAAAATCTTGGTAAAAATATTTTGTTTTTACATCTGTAAACCGCACTTATTTAATTTTATGACATTTCCAGTAATTCATTTTTGCAAGACTTAATGCTTATATTAGTTATAAGAATTTAAATCATTGTTTATTTATTTATTTTTCCTTGTAAAACAGGATCAACAGTTATAGAAAATCTGCTCTGGATCGTAAAATAAAAAAGGCAATAAAACGAAGATATTATTTAATTATAAAAGCATTTAATTGCTTTATGAATAAGATATATTATGGGCATAAACAAATTCAATGAATAATGAATTTTTATAAGAATCGTTTTAATTTTTTAAAATTTTAATTAGAATAATTTATAAAGTTTGAAATGTTTTAAAATTAAAAAAATATTTTAAAATAAAAGCTTCAAGTAAGTTTTTTCACTTTTAGAAATTCATTTTATAACTTTAGGTATCGCTTTTCTTTGAAGGTCCTTAGGTATATACATATATATTTGTATATCATATCTTCTACAAGTATATGTGTTTATCTGGACACATTTATTTCCTACCTAACTTTCAATGTCACTAGTATCGATCACTTTTATATACATTTCATGTCTTTGGTCTTCTATATGCCGTGTCCCTTCAGGACGTGGCGATGATGGCTCTCTACAATTTCCTGCGCTTTATAACTCTTAGTAATATATATATATATATATATATATATATTTCTATCTCTCTTCATCCCTGCTGTTTTGCCAACCATTTACACAAGCTTGTTAGGTATCTTATGCGCTGTTTTTCTTCTGTCCGTAGAGTAAAGGCTATCAACGACATTTCACAATCCCACAATGGTTGACTCCCGGGTCATTAATAATGATTTCAATCTTCTCTTTTGCTTTGATACTATAACCGTCTTCCATATTTATCGTATTTTCCCGCCACATTTTTACGGTATTTACAGTATTATAGAATTAGGCTAGGTCGAACCATAGTCAATCTAAGGCGTCTGGGTAGACATTAGCCTATCAGATATCTCGAGTCCGAATATAAAAACCAGAAGATATTTTATAAGACATTTCTTGAGAATAAGTAGTATATTTATATGGAATCAAATACGATCTGCAAATATTCTTTATAATTTAACTTTTTGGGAGTTGGAATTTGGATAAAACTCGGTCATTTTAGAATAGCAACGAATATATTTCGTGAACTTTTGGACATTTAATTTGAATAAGATATGCAGATGACACTGAAAGAAACTTGCAAATACTTCTAGATATATAGTAACGTAACGGAAAACTAAAAGAAAAAAGGATCAGCCCAAGATGCAAACTGCAAAGTGAATTTCTCAAAGTAAATAACGAAACTTATGATTTGATTTATTTATTCGTTTATTACGGCTTATGAAGCCTTTGCATGTTATTTAAATCCAGAAAATATTTTTACATTGTAAGAATTTTTTGAAGATAATAATGGTTTAGTGATACAAGTATTACTAATTAACCCATAGCTGGAGGGGAGATGAGGCGGATTCATATCTTTCCCGCGTAACGAACCTAAAGGAGTTGGAACCCGGTTTTCCGACTAAAGATTCTGTGCCATTATCCATTACACCACCCGCACATCGAAGCTTACAGTACCTGGTATTCCCAAGCATTCGCCCATCTAGGTACTGACCAGACTCGACGTTGCTTAACTTTGGTGATCGTATGGGAACCGGTGTTTCAAAACTATATGGCCGTAAGACATGAAGCTTAAGGTTCTTCTGGGTAGTCGAATGCAAACTAAACTCACTACTTCTGTGACGTCATCTCCTACCAGTGTTTTTGTTTTCTTGATGACCAGGACGTATAAAAGTTTGGCAGGTGAGTAACGCCAGTAATTCGAATTGGTAAGTCAAGGTAAAGTCATTTTGGTTGAGGCTAAAGACAGGTGTTATGGATCAAGCAATCGGCAATTCATTTTTATTTTATTTTAATTAATTTTTTACAGTATTATTTAGATACAAATACATTCACGGGAAACAAGACATATGGTCATCCATATTTGCATTTAATACTATAGAATTATAAAATTAAGCCAGGTTCTTGTACTGGCAGTTTAGTAAGTCAAGATAAACATTAACATACCAGATATAACAACTTTACATATAAGACCTAGGATACATTGGTTCTCTAATTTTGAAGGGTCTTATATGCCATGTATGCTATCTATGCACCTACGATAAAGCAATAAGCAGCAAAATCCTATCCAGGTAGTTTAACAGATCAATACTTCTGACAGCCCTACCGACGGGGCTCTACATCCACTGCAGAGAGGTATCTGTAATCTTAATGATAATATAAACCGTTTCCTTATAAGGGAATATTCAGCTTTCAATTGAAATTTATAAAATCTTTCTCTTAAATTTTTTTTCCAGAAAATAAGTTTCTCAAGTGCAGTCACTGTTAAGGCTCTTGCCAGTATTGATGGGAGTTTTCTTCCTTGCCTTATGTTTGAGGTAATGTGAAACGACAGTATCATGATTATGTCATTGTTTTCTTTTCGACTTACATGTGCTATCCATTTTAGTTGTTGCTGTTGTTGAAAGTCCTCAAGTGATAGGGGTTTCTGTTTTCAGGTACAATTCTTTGTGATTCTGTAGCATCAGACCATGAGGTTTGAAGAAGGGAACCTTTCTCGTAGATACTCGCAAACTCGGGTAAAAAAATCAACCAATATCTACCTTTTTAACTATCATGTAAACTTGAACTGTTTATACTTTTTACTCCAGTGTAAATCGGACCTATGTCTAACTTTTTGTCTCCAATGTAAACCAGATCAATGTTTACCTTTTTGACTAGTATAAGCTAGACCAGTATCTACCTAGTTAGTAATTCATTACGAGTTTCGTCTCATAAATCTTATATTTGCCATTAAATAGCACAACTTTGCTATGTCGTTAAATTTGCTAACCTAATCGATATTGGTGAGTTCGATCATCACTTTTGTTTCTCAATGTTACTTACCGTGTATACGCCTATCTCATGTATAGTGTAACCCTTGATTTTTTTTTTTTTAGAAAAACCTGATTTTTTCATATAGCTCGTGTATAATACCACCTAAACATCTGTGCAATATCTGTAACCAAATATTGCAGTACTGAACACCACTCTGGACCTATTTTATAGTATATAAATGGTCTTTATTCTTTTTTCTTTTCTTTTTTTTTGTACAAAGCTACCACAAAATAATGAGATTGATTTGTTTTCTACGGCTTATCAACCCTTTGCAAGTTATGAATACTTTACAGGTTATTTAAAACCAGAAAATGTTTTAGATTGTAAGATATTTTTATTTTTTGAGATAATAATGGTTTTTAAGATATGTCTTACTAATTAACCTATGGGTGGGGGAAGAAGAGGTGAATTCATACCTTTGTCAAGTGTATTTGCGCGTAAGTGAATATAACGAGCCCAACAGGAATTGAAACTCGGCTCTCCGATTAACAATTCCGAACCATTATTCATTACACCACCCGCACATCCAAGTTTACAGCACCTGGTATTCCCCAGCGGTTACCCACCGAGGTACTCACCAGGCTCGACATTTTTTCGGTGATCGTACGGGAAGCGGTGTTTCAACGTGATGTGAATGTAAACCACAAAATGGTGAGAGAAAACACTTAACGTAAAATATCTGATACTAAGATTGTGATATCGTATTTTGTTTTTTGTTTATGCCTGATTGCAATGACCTTTTAACCTCTTCAAAAATTACCTCTGTATGGTGTGACCCTTTAATTTTTGGCGTAAAAAAAAAACTGATTTCAAAATCTCCCATTCTACTCGAGTATATACGGCATGCTCTAGATTTAGCGAAATTTAGAATAATAACTATCTGCCTACTGTAGAGCAATAAGTAACCAATTACTTTTACTGATGAATGCTCGTCCAAGTATCTGGTCATATTTTTTCAAAGTGGATATACCTCTGAAAATATTTCTCGGGTTTTTTTGTTTTTTTTTTAATCTGGAAGATCGAATTCACACTAGTAGTAAGCGTCGAAGCTAGTTTGCTAACCACTGCTTCATAGCGGGCAGCTGACTTATGCATGTATATATATGTAAACTCGACTGTGCACAGTTTCAACACATATACAGGGTACAAGCATACACGCTACGATTCATCAATACAACCGAATATAACTGTCTTCTCTGACATCACCTACGCGCGGGAATAAAAATAAATACGCGTGCCTACACATATGCATATTAACTGAACCAACTATCGACCCTCTACTTTCACTTTCTCTTTTGCCCTGAATGCGGAACCAAAGTTAAAGGAGACAATAGAGAAAAGAAGAAACAAAGAAATAATAATAATAATAATAATAATAATAATAGTAGTAGTAATAATAATGATAAAAAACGACTTTAGATTAGAGTTGATTTGCACTTGACATTAGGAAATTGACCAAGTGCTTAAGGCGTGCAAGAAAGAAAGAAGGTTGTTTGACCTAGGGGCTTGAGCAGGAGAAAGCGATATGAGGATGGAGAAACGGGTAAGGGGGAAGAAAGCAAAGAAAGGAAACAACGAGTGCGTATCGGGGATGAGGAGGCTGGTGCGAAACAGTGGTGTCTTCTTGCGAAGACTACGAGAAAAGTCAGACTGAGGGAAAGATCGTTGTTGAACGGCACGAATGTCGGAGAGCCCACACAATGATTGACAAAATTACAGTGTCCAGGTAAATTCTACCGTTTCTCCGCTTCTCCTGCCTTCCATTTCCAACGCGTTTCACCCTGTGGGAGCGATAAACGTGGATGGCAAAACGAGTGAGCTTTCAATGATGGGAAAACAAAGAAAAGGAAGAAACGGAGACGAACTGGGTGGAGAGAAGAGGGAGGGGGGTAGAACAGCAGATTATCGCGCCAGTCTTTGCGGCGATAGCTTACAGGGATCAGGAATTGTGGTCACAATGTCAGCAAAAGTCATGGGTAACAACTAAGCAAATTAGATAGATATCATTTTCTTTTAGGTTTATCCATCGTTTCCTGTTAGTGACCTTTACTGATTTTAAAGAAAGAAAAAGACGAAGCAAATTGTAAGTAATAAGTTAGGGATTGTAAAAGCTGACATTCCTTCAAGATTTCAAAATATCCCACCCCTTGTTCTTAAGACTAAAACCTTAATTTCTAATTGTATTAAAAATTGGCAAAATTAATATAAAAAATGTGTAAATAAGAAAGTGTTAAATTGATCAGATGTCAAAATTCTGTATAAATACTAATAAAATACAGCTTGAGTATCCTGTATCCGAAAAAAACTCCAAAATCCGAAAAAACCCTCCAAAATCCGAAAAAAAATCCGAAAGTTTTTTCAGGTGCTGACATGACTTGCCTGAAATGGAAAATTTCAGAAATTACTAGTAAGTTTCCTAGCTGAAGTATAAACAACACCTTGACTATGTGGGTGTTGAAGAAACACAAATGTGACTGAGCAAGCGTTTGCAATAGGGATTAGCTAGCCGCCTTAACAGACTGGTATAGGTGGAAACGAGCAGCTAGCCATTAAATAATATTGAAAATTTCATTTAAGTTTCCAATTTTTATTTTTTAAAAATTTTATTTTAATTGAGAAATCCCATAGGATATATATATATATATATATATATATATATATATATATATATATATATATATATATATATATATATATATGTATTATTACAGATATGAAGGGGAAGCAATAAAAGGAAAATTCAAAAAATAAGAAGGGTTCATTTAGCAGTTTTTTTTTTCCACGCCTCATAAAGTTTCCTTTGGGGCGCTTGTGGCTCAGGCTGATCTAAGTAGCTTATGTAGCTGCATAAAAAATATATAAGCAATCATGTTTTCTCTTCTTTCATGTGCCGTGTCACCTCGGCGATCAAGGCACTTCATGTGTTCATGTCTTTTGCTGTTTTAACGATTGTGCAACGAACTGGAATTTACAACATATTCATTGATGCAACGAATAACCCGCTGAGTATCAAGGAACATTTTATACATTCCATTTCTAAAAGTAATAACTAATTCCATTTACAGTTATTCCATTTCTAAAAGGAGCTTTAATTTACAGTTGTTCATTTCTAAAAGTAATAATTAATTCCATCTACATTCTTTTCAAGAAGTAATAGCATTATTTTACAATCATTCCATTTCTAAGCGTAATGACGAATACCATTTACTGACATTCGAACTCTGAATGTAATAACTATAGTCTGACGTCCTGTTACCATTAAGCCACAGAGAAGCGTCTGGCTAACAAAGTTTGAGTTACTGTTTATAAACACACGCCTTCGACGATTTTTCTCCGTGGCTGAATGGTAAGAGCTCGTCAGGTTATATGACGGTTCCATAAGGCTTACAGGTTCGATTCCTGTCGGAGAGCGCATATTTTCTACGAAATTTCTCGAACATTCAGGCCGGTAAATGTAATTAATACTGTTTAATTAAAAAAAGGCCATTTTCTTAAATAAATAATATCTATAAAAATAACCTATAATCAGAAAATATATTAAATAATTGTCGGACTTAAACCATTTCACACAAGATGACCACTCGATTTGAAATACCTGTCGCACATAAAAGACACTCGATTTTGAAATGCTTACCACACCAAATAGACAGACCATTTTGAAATGCCCATCACACAAGATGACCATTCGATTTGAAATACCTGTCGCACATAAAAAACACTCGATTTTGAAATGCTTACCACACCAGATAGACCATTTTGAAATGCCTATCACACAAGATGACCATTCGATTTGAAATACCTGTCACACATAAAAAAACACTCGATTTTGAAATGCCTATCACACAAGATGACCCCTCGACTTTGAAATACCTTTCGCACATAAAAAACACTCGATTTTGAAATGCTTACCACACCAGATAGACAGACAATTTTGAAATGCCTATCACACAAGATGACCACTCGATTTGAAATACCTGTCGCAGATAAAAGACACTCGATTTTGAAATGCTTACCACACCAGATAGACCATTTTGAAATGCCTATCACACAAGATGACCACTCGACTTTGAAATACCTTTCGCACATAAAAGACACTCGATTTTGAAATCCCTATTTCACAAGACGCTTGCTAAATAAATCTTATTGAAGATTACGATAGTAAGTTTCCAACAGGTTTTTTTTTTCTCTTTTGACCTCAGTGATCTTTGAAAATGATTCTTGTGGGTGTCTTGAACAGTTATTTATGATTCAAACTTATCTCTATTGCGTGAAATTGTGATTCCCGTTGGAGAATGTGTTTGAAACGCTCTCCTGAACTGTCTTTAATCACTTTGTTCACGCACTTACACTAGCAATATAGTTCCCTATTTGCCCATGGCTTGGACCCTAACAGGTGCTACCACCTCGGGTCAGGGTGGACATGGGAACAACAACAATAAGGAGGTGGTTCCACGCTCCGCAAAACCTCCAATCTCCCGATCGGAGACCCTGCTGCCGGATGTAGTTTATCGTCATACGCAGGACTATCAACGGTCAGTAAACTAAGTGTTTGGTCAATAAATGCTGAATGTTTCCTTATACGGAAACTGCTAATGGCACCATTACAATTACCATAATAAAAATAAAAATTCAGCTATTTTTTAGATATCAATTGCAGCCGGCACAAAAAATAACAAATATTAAGTGAAATAATGTATGCAGTTTGGAGGACGTGAGGCAGATACATACGTACATGTGTACATACATACGTACACACTAGGTGCTGAAAGTGTCGAAAAAAACTTACTTACCTTTACTCCTAATTTCTACTGTGTCCTTCGAAGTAATCTCCTAGTATGCAGAGATTAAGTGTTTTCCAAGATTCCATAAAGTATTGTAAAAGAAACGTCCAAACAACATTTACTTCACTCGCACACTCATTTTTCATTTTATCGATAACATAATCCCATCTATTTGTTAAGTGTCTGGTACCTCGGGCGTAAAAATCTTCAGGCTTTTATGCAACATGACGTCTTCACAATTAATAAACTGTTTTCCCTTTAAAAATGTTGCAGGGATCTGAAAAGATGATAGTCAGATGGAGCAGGGATCTGAAAAGATGATAGTCAGATGGAGCAAAGTCTCAAGGGTAAGGAGGATGAGACAAAACCTCCATAGCGCCATATGTTTTTTCCTGGCTCATTGAATATGTGATTGTGAGATCAACGCGTCTTTACGATTAATCAATGGTTTGCTTTTTCTGCAAATTTTTATGAATTGTTTCCTCTTGTCAGCCATATTTCTCCGCAATATCAGTTTCGCATTGGTTTAATATTTCATGAAAGACAATATTCAACATAACTCACCAAACAAGAGAATTACTTTTTTTTTTTTTTTTACGATTGTAATCCTGATTTGGGGATGGCTTGTTCACTTTGGTGGTTGCTAACCATTGTTGTTTTCCTTATGATTGGGGATCCAACTTTTAATTAATGATAGTGATTGTATCCAGGAAAAGTTTTGTGGCAAGTCTACTCTTCAATGATGAACAGAAGACAATTCTTTGATCAAACTGAGAAGGTGTCATCAGATGATGAGGGATCCACTGACCAATTTTAGACATTTATCAAACTTCATGAAAGTGTTTTAAAATCGAAGTGTGACTTTTATGGAACTGTTTGTTTAGGATTTTCAACACCTACAATTCGCAGATGCTCCGTATTGACAGAATTTAGTCGTTCATAGCGAGAGGAATCTTCCAGAAAAGAATCTCCCGATCGAAACTAAACCATTGTTGGAATATCCGGACATTTTAAGCTTTATTTCCATAGACAGAAAGAATATTTATTGCCGCTTCCGTTGCTAAAGTGTCCTTTTTGAATTTCATCCAGTATACAGTGACTGGTATGGGTCTGATCTAAAATTACTTTAAAAATAATCGAGTTAAATCGATACAAAATTTACCCCCTCTGATATTAAGTAATCTGCATAGAAAGAAAAAGGGAAAAAATCATTAGAATGTAAACATTAAACATTAATGGTTACTTTACCACATGTATTGGAAAATTAACCTCAAAACGATCATATCAGAAACGCTACAGGATATTTTTTTCCAAACTTCTTTATGTGCCATGTCTCCTCAGGACGTAGGCGATGATGGCTCTCCACAACTTCCTGTCCCTTGTAGCTCTTAATATATTTTGTCTTTCTGTTATTTCTCCTAAACCATGTTCCACCATCCATTTATTCAAGCGCACTAAGTATATTATGCGTTATTTTCCTCTGTCCCTCTTGCTTTCAGTCTGTCCTGTGAGTATCAGATGTTCCAAGCCCGCTTTCCTCATTATTTGCTCTAGAAACCTCAACTGTCTCTTCCTGATGTTAAGTATAAGTTTTCGTTTTGTTCCGATTTTCTCTAAAACTTCGTCGCTGCTTACATATGTTGTCCACGGTATACTCAACATCCTTCTGTAGGTATTTTGGTTGCATCGTCTCCTCTTCATCTTTGAGGAGATTGTCCAACACTCAGTGCCATACAGGAGGATAGATATCGCGTAACAGTTTAGTAGTCTTTTCCTTGTTTCTAGCGAAGTTTTTTTTCTATTTCTTGGTACTTTGCTTAGCTTTTGGAAGGCATCTTTCGCTATTCCAATGTAATACAATTTAAAAGCTGCTTTTTGCATAGAACTTTTTCTTTTCTCGCCACAAATAAACAAAAGCATCATCTCAGTTTTAAACAAAAACTGAAAATGAAATTTCCTCAGATATTTGAAGTTGGTTTTCTTTTCTTGTTTTTTTCTCTTACAAAAATTTGTTACATATTACATTCATCTGCACTATCCGACATACTTAAAAGAATCCTAAAAGCACTGAACGATTTTAAAATGCAATAACTGCCAGGCATCGTTTGTGGCCTAGTGCCACATTTGATACGCGTGGAGGTCAGTTTCAGATTCATCTCCAGGTGTAACAATGAAAGACGAGGCTGTCGAAGGCAGAGTTTTATTTTTATACACTCGTTTGATGGGATCGCGTAGGTTTTCCTGCGGTGTCCTTGGCTAAGTGTTGGCTTCGAGGCCCCATGCAGTTTGAGTCCCACAACATATTAATCACAGAGTGGACTGCCTTTAGCTTTCTATTCATTAAAGCATAAAGACAATCTCCTTGACTCTTAGGTTAAATGTTTTATTTTATTATTTTACAGTTTTTACTAAAATGGACAACATAAAAAAAAGACCCATTTTTCTAAAGATGATTATTAAAATGTGGTTCATTGATCTTTTCAGTCTTTGACGTACAATTACAGAATTTGAAGAAAATAAAATTTTTACCATGTTCTAGGATAAAAAAATATAATTTACATCAGTCTAACGTTGTGGATTTTTTTATTAAGTTTTGGAATATTTTTTCATCAACATTTTTAGATATACCGTATATACTCTTCTTCTTATCGTCTCTATAAAATCTACTTCATGTATAGTACGACCTCTGAATTTTGTTTGAGAAAAACCTGATTTTTTCATATAGACGAAGGTTTTCTGTTCATAATGCTATCTTTCTGACCCCAATCAACTTCATCTACTTTGGTTGAGCAATATTTAAGGCATTTGTGAATTTTCTTTGCACGCGATGATCTGGGTGAGCATATTAAAATACTGGCATGTAGTCCGAAATATTGCAGTAATTGATCCTGGGCATCATCTCCGTCAGATGAGTTCTCTCATTTGCCAATCCTTCCCCACGCTACACTACACGCATTTTTTAGCAAATAAACTACCTTGCATTAAGTTTGGAATATTTTGTTTTTGTTCAAATAAAATGTTGCTTAGGATTCTAAAAATAAAAGATAATAAATATAAATAAACAGAGAAAAACAGAATAAAAACGTAATACAACTTTGTCATTGGTGTACTAATATATACTATATAGATATGTATCAAACAAATGCACTGCCACCTCAATGTGGCTTTAAAATTTTGATACTTTGTCCACACTCGTTAACTTTAACTAGAACAGTTATCGCTCTTATTTTTCATAGACTATGATATCGTGTATGGGCGTTCGTATTTACAAAAATCGGCAAATCGTTTATACACACACACAAAAGGCCAGAAAGTCACACACACACTAAGGAGAGATAACAATACACACACACAAAAATGCACACACACACACTTACATAGAATTTTCAGTTACATGCAGCTATTTCAACTGTTTTTTAGTCTAAAAAAATATTGGAAAGATAAAAGCTATTTTATTTTATTTATTATCTTTAATAATTTGTGTAAATTAAATATTACAAAATAAAAAAAATAAATTAAAATTAAAATAATAAATAAATCATTCATTTTTGTGCCATTTCCCATTGCCTCAAATTTCAATTTTGGAGTAACTTTTCTAAAATTATATCGGGTTTTAAAAGACAAAGTAATTTGAATAAAACAATTACAAAATATTATACACAACTTTTAAATTCAGAAAGTGTAAAATTAAAAAATAAATTGTCAGTAATTTTAAAAGTTTTAAGACATTTTTTTTTAGGAAAATAGGTTTTCTCTGTTTGAAACTAATATATTATATTATATATGAAATATATATATATATAATATATATATTAAAAAATTATATAATCCTGTGTTCTTATAGATATTTTTATTTTTACAAAAATAGTGCCAAATGTAAATTTGAAACATGTTTAAAATATTTAATTTTTTAATTAAATTAATGACATTAAAAGCCATTTCATCCTCAAACGAATTTTGAGAGCAAAAAATACTGGGTATTTTAAATAAATCAATTTATAATATATATATATATATATATATATATATATATATATATATATATATATATTATTAATTAAATAATTAAATATCAAACACTTAAAATCCTATAGGTAATAATTTTTATTTCATGAGATCCCAACCCTTCATATTAATGTTAAATCTGAAATCGGTATATCAAATTAGATCAACACACTTTGCCTTTTACCACTCTCTAAATAAGATAGCAATATTTCTTGATTTTAACCCGGAGTAGTTTTTTTCCATTTCATTTATGATTTTGTTTGTAAGTCTTGAACATTGAAAGCTGCTTTTTTTTTTTTAGAGTTCTCATGAAATAAAAAGTGTTACCTATAGGATTTTAAGTGTTTGATATTCTTTAATTAATAATAATTTTGCTCTGTCTTTTGACATAGAGACCTCTTCCCTGGATCTATATCCCCCTGGAAATTCCATACGGATTACCATATTGTATTAGAGAGAGAGAGAGAGAGAGAGAGAGAGAGAGAGAGAGAGAGAGAGAGTCTCCAAAGATTGACTAAAAAATGAGAATACATTCATGAAAATTTCTCGAATGAATGAAATTATTTTAGAAATGTTTCTTTTTCAGAAAATCTTGGTAAAAACATGTTTTTACAACTGTAACCTTTCACTTATTTAATTTTATGAAATTTCGAGAAATTAAATGTTGCATTGATTAATTTTATAAAGTATATTATAAGCACAAATCCTTGGAGAATTTAAATCGTTTTTTTTTTTTTTTTTTTTTGTAAATCAGGACCAGAGTTATCGAAAATCTGCTCATTATAGTAAAATAAAA